ATAAGAAAACAGAAACAATCCCCTGCATTCTAGCTGATCACAATGCATTAAAACTAGAACTCAACAACAAAAACAACAGCAGAAAATATGCAAACAACTGGAAGCTGAACATCACATTGCTCAATGATCAGTGGGTCAATGATGAAATAAAAGAGGAAATTAAAAGGTTCCTGGAAATTAATGAAAATGAAAACATGACCTACTGGAACCTATGGGACACATAAAAGGCAGTCCTAAGAGGAAAGTTTATAGCCATGAGTGCATATATTAAAAGGACAGAAAGATCTCAAATAAACAACCTAATGTTACATCTCAAATGCCTAGAAAAACAAGAACAAGCAAAACCCAAAACAAGAAGAAGGAGACAAATAATAAAAATAAGGGCTGAAATTAATGAAATAGAGACCAAAAAACCATACAAAGAATCAACAAAACAAAAAGCTGGTTCTTTGAAGAAATAAACAAGGTTGACAGACCCCTGGCAAATCTGACTAAAATGAGGAGGGAAAAAAACCCAAATCAGTAAAATCAGAAATGCAAAAGGGGAGATAACAACAAATACTGTGGAAATCGAGGGTATCATCAGAGACTACTTTGAGAACCTATATTTCAATAAATTTGAAAATCTTGAAGAAATGGACAAATTCCTAGATATTTATGACCATCCAAAACTCAACCAAGAGGATATTAACCACCTAAATAGATCTATAACATGAAATGAAATTGAAGAAGCAATAAAGAGTCTCCCAAAAAAGAAAACTCCAGGACCTGATGGATTCTCTGCTGAATTCTATCAGACCTTTAAAGAAGAACTAATACCAACTCTCCTTAAACTGTTCCATGAAATAGAAAGGGAAGGAATACTGCCTAACTCATTCTATAAAGCCAGTATTACATTCATCCCAAAACCAGACAAAGACACCTCCAAAAAAGAGAACTATAGACCAATCTCCTTAATGAACATCGATGCAAAAATTCTCAATAAAATAATGACAAACCAAATCCAACAATACATCAGAAAGATCATTCACCAGGACCAAGTTGGCTTCAACCCAGGGATGCAAGAGTGGCTCAACATATGCAAATCTATAAATGTGATACAGCACATTAATAGAAGCAAAGACATAAACCACTTAATCATCTCAATAGATACAGAAAAAGCCTTTATTCATAAAGATTCAACTCCATGATAAAAACTCTAAGAAAACTAGGAATGGAAGGAATGTACCTCAACATTATAAATGATATATATGACAAATCTATAGCCAACAGCATAGTTAATGGAGAAAAACTGAAACCATTTCCCCTAAAAGCAGGAAGGAGACAAGTGTGCCCACTCTCCACTCCTATTCAAAATAGTTCTGGAATTCCTAGCCAAAGCAACAAGGCAAGAAAGAGGAATAACAACAGGCATTCTATTCCTATAGAAATATTCCAACTATCCCTCTTTGCAGGTTACATGATCCTATAATTTAAAGACCCAAAAAATTCTACCCAAAAACTCCTAGACACCATAAACACCTTCAGCAATATAGCAGGATACAAAATCATCTTACAAAAATCAGTAGCCTTTCTATACACCAACTATGAACAAATTTAGAAAGAATATAGGAAAACAACTCAATTTACAATAGTTTCAAAAAATCAAATACCTAGGAATAAACTTAACAAAGGATGTAAATGACCTCCACAAGGAGAGCTACAAACCACTGAAGAAAGAGACTGTGGAAGACTACAGAAGGTGGAAAGATCTCCCATGCTCAAGGATTGGCAGAATCAACATAGTAAAAATGGCTATACTACCAAAACAATCTACATGTTCAACACAATTCCCATAAAAATCCCAAGGACATTCATCACAGAGACTGGAAAAATCGACCCTAAAGTTCATTTAGAAACAGAAGAGACCATGAATAGCCAAGGCAATACTCAGAGAAAAGAGCAATGCTGGAGGTATCACAATACTTGACTTCAAACTATATTACAGAGCCATAGCAATAAAAACAGAATGGTACTGGCACAAAAACAGACATGAAGACAAGTGGAACAGAACAGAGAACTTGGATATGAATCCACACAGCTATGTCCACCTTATTTTCAACAAAGGCATTAAAAACATACGATGGAGAACAGACAGTCTCTTCAACAAATGTTTCTGGGAAAACTGGTTATCTCCTTGCAGAAAACTGAAACTAGATCCATGTCTATCACCCTGTAATAGTATCAAGTCAAAGTGGATTAAGGACCTTAATATCAAACCTGAAACTCTGAAGTTAGTACAGGAAAGAGCAGGGAATACTCTGGAAGCAATAAGCATAGGCAAGGACTTCCTCAATAGAACTCCAGCAGCCAATAACTGAGAGAAAATATGGGCAAACTGGACTATGTGAAATTAAAAAGCTTCTGCATAACAAAAAAAATGGTCTCTAAACTGAAGAGACCATCCACTGAGTGGGGGAAAATATTTGCTAGCTATACATCAGACAAAGGACTGATAACGAAAATATACAGGGAGCTCAAAAAACTAAACTCCCCCAAAATCAATGAACCAATAAAGAAGTGGGCAACTGAACTGAACAGAATTTTTTCAAAGGAAGAAATCCAAATGGCCAAAAAACAAATTAAAAAATGCTCACCATCTCTGGCCATAAAGGAAATGCAAATCAAAATCATACTAAGATTCCACCTCATTCCTGTTAGAATAGCTATCACCAAAAACACCACCACCAACAAATGTTGGTGAGGATGTGGGGAAAAAGGAACCCTCATACACTGCTGGTGGGAATGTAACCTAGTACAACCACTTTGGAAAACAATATGGAGGCTTCTTAAAAAACTAAACATAGATCTGCCATATGATCCAGCAATACCACTCCTAGGAATATACGTAAAGGAATGCAAGTCAGGTTATTCCATAGGCACCTGCACACCCATGTTTACTGCTGCACTATTCACAATAGCCAAGTTGTGGAAACAGCCAAGATGCCCCACTACTGACAAATGGATTAAGAAAATGTGGTATTTATACACAATGGAATTTTACTCAACCATGAAGAAGAGTGAAATCTTGTCATTAGCAAGTAAATGGATGGAACTGGAGAACATTATCTTAAGTGAAGTTAGCCAGGCTCAGAAGGCCAAAAATCATATGTTCTCCCTCATATGCAGATTTTAGAAGTAAAACAAATGTAGTAACATTATTGGACATGGGTCACAAGCTAAGAGGAGAACACGTACAGGAGGAATAGGGAAAGGTAGGAAACCCAAAACTTGAAAGTCTTTGATGTGCCCACTGCAGAGGAGCTAATATAGTAATCTTAAACTGATAGAGGTCAATATGGAAAGGTGACCAGGTAGTAGTGAAGAGGTCTGGTAGAGATGAACCAATTCAGGTTGGAATACACATGTGATGGAAGCAATGCTAGGAATCTCTCTGCATAGCTCTCCTTATCTCAAACTAGCAAAAACACTATGTCTTTCTTATTATTGCTTAGTCTTCTCTTCAACAAAATTGGAGAGGAGAGCAGAAAAGCTTCTGCCTGGAAGAGAGGGGGATGGCCCAAACAATGTATGCACATATGAATAAATAAATAAATAAACAAAAAAAATGCCTCATAAAGAAAGTAGTACTGCCCTAGACCTTGAAGGAAGTGGAACTGGCTTATATGAGAGGAGTGTATTTCAAGCAATGCATAGAGTTGGAGGAAGCACAAGGGTACCTGTGCTACAGAGGAAGCAGTACTTCTAATCCAATGTCACAACGGTCAGGAAGTTGGACCTGATTGCTCATTGTAGAGCAAAAGACAAGAAGGAATTATCCTATCTTGTCTCTATTTCCTACTTACCTAGTCAATATTATAAACCCAAGCATCCCCTTGCCCTCTTGCCCTAACTTCCATTCTCAAATTTTTATATACATCCCTTTGTGGGCTCTAATACTGAAACCTAACTCGTCTTCTGAATCCTTTCCTTGATCCTTCTAGATACTCTAGATCAGTGATTATTAGCAGAGTACCTGTTACAGTAAGCCTGCCTTCAAGGTTCTTTGCCTCCTTGTTTTAACTCCCTATGCTTTAAGGACTATTGTCCTCTTTTTTTAGTTCCTTTGATAATCACTGTTGAGGCTCTTCAAGGCTATATTCTAGACTAGTTTTTCTTTTTACCTATATATTCTCCCTCATGCATTTCATTCATTCACATGACTTCATTTACTATCTATATGCTAATAATCTTCAAATTTCTCTACTATTTAACATTTTCCTAAGACTCAAATATCCAACTGCTCTTTGGACACATCTGCTGGAGAAACACACATTGAAAATGAACTCCTATCTTAACCTTAAAATAGATGCCCAAATAAAGTTAATCTAGATTAAATATTTAAATATCATATATTAAGCCATTTAAGTACTAAAGGATGAGATCAATGTTATGAAACATTGAGATAAAGATGGTCTTTGCAGAAACCATAATAAAAGATAGCTCTAAGAACATAAAAAAGCTCTATAATGACAATAGTGTCATAAATAAAACTGAAAGGCCAATGAAAATCTGTGAAAAATTAGTAAAATATAACTTACTGATCACTCTCCTGTCCTGTATTTATAAGTACACACTTTCTACCAATAGCAATGCTGTGTCTACCTTAGTTCTTATGATGCACAATTTTGAAGTGAAGTGCATTAGAATTTCATGATAGGAGAGGGTCAGCAGTTTATCTGTTTAAATTGTATGGATTACAGATCAAACTAAAAGGATAACTAAGAAAGCAAACAGGTGAAATAAAACTCTTAATTAGGGAGACTGCTTATCTTTTTTACCTCTTTATAAAGGTTTTATATTTTTCTTTCCATCCTATATATTTAGAAATTTGGTACCTTTTCTCCTATAATTACAACAAGTTTCTCTACCAAACAAACAAACATTTAAGCCTAGAAAAGAAAAAAGAATAATTTACACATAAATCTTTAGAATTTGGAAGTAAAAGAAAAAATAGTTACCTGAGACATTTCAGCAAGGTATATGCGGCGTTCGTTGTTGGTTTTGTGGTAAGCCTACATAAAAGATACAAAGTGAAGAATTCCACATAAGATCAGCAATACTAGCAAGACAATTACTAAGCTAAGGTTTATGTGTCCTGTTCATTTGATATTATAGGAAATATTTTTGTAAGCATTTAATGAAAATGATATAATACATTTATAAATATCAGCAAAAATAATGGCAGCTTCAAATGAATTGTTTAGTACAGAGTAACAACAAACCTTTGATTCTTGTTCCAGTCTAAGTGCGTAGTCTTTCACTTGATTTTCAAGACTCCTTTTTTCTTTTTCTAACTGTTTAAGTAATGTAGTCAAGGTTTCCTGAAAATATAAATAGAAGTTTACATGTACTCATGCTCTAGGCAACAAGAAGAAATGACCATCAAGTTCTTTACTACTGAATGCCTTCCAAAAGAACTGTGGTTGATAATTTCATAACATGTATTGTTGAAGCAATGGTAATAATAATTAGTAAAATAGTTGTTGAACTCTATGCCATGTATTATGCTAAGTACTTTCCATAGATTCTTTTAGTCCTAATTATAATTCCTGAGATGGCTAATATTTATTTTCATTTTACTGCTGAGAAAATTGCAACTTACAGAGTTTATGTAACTAGTCCACTGCTGCTAATCAATAGTAGCACTGGAATTTGACCCCAAGTAAAATGCTAAACAATAATTAGTATTTAGTAATAAACAGCATATGTTCATATTACTTTCATCATTGTAACAAGATATGTAGGGAAAGACTTTTAAAGACTATATATTCTATTGCTAACTGAATGCTTTACGTCCATTTTTACATACTGATAGAAACCACTGCAGAAAAAAAGCATCCATATAGAAAGAAAAGTTTAAGGCTTCTCATTCATAAGAAGAGGGAATGAAATGGATTATTCTGATATATATCAATAACACTAAGTATATATATATATATATATATATATATATATATATATATATATATATATATATATATAATTATAAACTGTTGGAGAAATGCACAATTAAATGCATGATTTATATCTGCCAACCCAAGTAACACTGGTTTCCTGGCAATTTGTGAAATAAATGAAAGCACCCTTTTGTAAGAACTTATGCTATTGTGTTTAGGGGTACTTAGACTAGAGGTCTAGAGTTCTGAGTTTCTGGAACTGTCCTACTCTAATATTTTCACATTTCTCCTGGTTATCAACCTTACTGCCTCTTCCACCACTATACTTTTTTCCTATAGCATGATGATTAATGTATTTTCCTAATCATATCTTTTTTCCCTTTTATTGGGTCAATGCCTACCTCACAAACTATGTTTTCTGAATGCTATTTTTCCTAAAGGCCTCTTACCCTATCTGTTTTAGCTGTTTATTTTTTTGTTTATTCATATGTGCATACAATGTTTGGATCATTTCTCCCTATTTTAGCTTTTTAAAGTTGACTTATATGTATGTGAGCAATTTCCTAGGGTACTACATATAGAAGTATAGAAAAGACTTTCAGAAGTCTTATAATCCCTCTACCTGAACACCATGTCACAGGGAGCAAAAATCTGTACAAAACTGATGACTAGTGGCAAAGAGGTCTGGAGAAGAGGAATGTGGATGAGACTACTGATGGGGGAATAAAGGATAAGATTTCTTGTCTATTAGTATTGCATACTAATTCTCACCAGAGAGCACCTACTACAGAAGAAGCATTAAACCAAATGGACCAAAGACTTCCTGATATGTGTTCTGATATGGTGCCATCCTTCAAAGAGATCAACCAGCCACTTGGTTGCAAGTTGACTACATAAGATACCTTCCATCAGTTCATCCAGATGTGCATTGCTGATACAGTTCTACCTTTCTTTTCCTACCTAGAGTGCCTCAATCAGCTACATACTTTGGTACTCTATTAGCTGTGACCCAAAAGTCTCCTTTCCGCAAAAGATCAAACCTACCACCCTCTTTCAGCGGGGAGGGAGTTGTCTGGGTAAACAACTGATTGATGTAAAAGAATGGCAACCTACCTTAATTAGAGACCCAATGAGTGTGACTTGACAGTAGGATGACTGGGCATAAGGCCAGACCTTTGTAATGAAGGTACAAGGGAGCCCACTACCACTAGAAGGTAAGTTGTGGCCTTCTACAACAAAGCCGGGTTTTTTTAATGGTTAGACTTGTCTCCAGAGCCTGCCCCACGATCTTGGCACTGAACACTGGAAAATGCAACTGAGAACTTGCTATTGCATTTGTGGCTCCGGGAAGTAAATCCATCAGCTGATTTTAGGTGCCAATTTGCTCTAAGCCTATATAGGTCTAGGAGTCTAATCATCCCATATTTTTAAGCTCTTTTTTTTGGTCTCTGGGAAAACTGTTAACAGGTGTCACTGCTGGGAGACTTTCAGTATGAAAAACCTTTTCCAGAAAGCTCATATAAAGGAATAGCTATTCATCTGGTCCTTCCTAACTCAAATTGACCACCCAGAAGTGATTTAAGATGAATTTGAATTCCTCTGTTATCTTAGCCCATTTTTGGTTATTATAACAGAATATCTGAGACTGAGTCATTTATAAAAGAAAGTTTATTTAGCATATGGCTCCAGAGGCTAGAAGTTCAAGATTGAGCAGCTTCATATGGCAAGGATGTAGTGCTACATTACAACAAGAAGGAAAAGAGCAGGACTGTATAGAAGAGACAAACAGCAAGGTGTGTCCTTGCTTTATAGTTCCTATTCCTGCAAAAGAGGAATTAATTCCTCTTACCTACCAAATCATTCCTTAAAATTCCCATCTCCCAACACCACAATGGCAGTTTCAGAGGGGACAAACCATATTCAAGCCACAGAGTATCTACCAACCCTTCAGCACAGGCACCTAGACCAGGCTGTCTAGGTTACAGCCTTTGGTAAGATATGTGATCTTATCCTTACACAGAAAGGAGATGGGCAGAAATAATCTTTTAAGATCAGCCTGAAGAGTATCTCATAATGCTATCAGAATTGTACCACCATGACTGTGCCAGTACCTAATGAATTATATATACCTCTCATCTTCTTCTGGGTGTGGAAAGTAAATAGTACATTGATTTACTACTGGCTCTGATCTCCTACTAGCCTTGTTCTAGTAGTCTTGACCTGCTACTACTCTATGCCACAAAGATTCAATACCCAAATGAAGGAATTCAAGTTTTGCCTCACATAGGCTCTTACTTGTGACTCAAACTTTCAATCATAAAAACCTGAAGATTCTCTGTCCCAAATGAAAGGAAGAAGGTGGCTGTAGAAATGAGGGTTACTATATACTGGCTAGCCCAAAATGTTGCCTTCAAAGAACTACACTGGGCTCTGTACTCTGCAAAAAAGGACCATCCCACCACAAATCCAGAATTAGTGGCCTTGGTTTTCTGTGCCCAGCTCTGAATCAATCAACTTTGATTGGGATAAGTGGAGAAGAGATATACTATGGTTGGCCAGTCTGTATAAGCTCCTTACCTCTAGACTCTAGGGACACATAAGACAGTGAAAACTCCTTGAATGGTAAACTGATTGAGGGGGGAGAAATATAATTTTCAGAAGGGAAATTCTGCTCTAGAAGGCTGAAGAAATGCTGATCAAACCAAACAAAATATCCTCTAAAAGGAGAGGTTAAAGCCAAGGATTTGGCCATGCTATCTAGGATATTGAAAAGAGTGGGGGGAACTAATCGAATTAAGCAGCCCAAAGAATTATGAGGCTGGAGGATTGGTTAAATTATTCATAATCAAGTTATTCAATACACTGGCAGGAGAGTAGAAAAGGAGGAGGAGCAATAACACATTATACCTACTTGGTTTTAGATTTTAATCCCTAAATTAATAACTGATAATTTTCAGTAACTATAATTATTTCTCATATTCTTACAAATTAAAAATATTTTGGTTAAATTCTCTCAATTCTTATTGGTCATGATCTAGGTTACTAAATCTATTAAAAGAAACATTCAAAGAGAAATGGAAGCAGCTAATTTAAATCTCCACAAAGCAAAACTGCAAAATATTTTCAAACCCCACCTTCCTGAAATACAGCTAATTCAGTAAATGATTTATTTATTCTCTCTTAGATACAAGTTAATAATTACTAAACATTTTTTTTAAATTGTATTAAGAGGATAATGAGATCAGCTGAAACAGGACAAATTCCAGTCTCTCAAAATAACAACAGTGATAAATCCCTTAGAAGTGATGATTCCCTACTATCCATATTTGATTAGCATCCTTGTTAAAACATAATAGGATGATATTACTCAGATAGGTATTATTCTTTGAAAGTTAATGATAGAATATTGAAGCCTGTGAAATCATTTTAAGTAGGGAAAAAAGGGATGAGGGAGAATGATGGTAATATGGGTATGTCACAACAAAATCCCCTGTATAACTAATGTAAAATGTAAAACAAGTTAATAATACACTGGCATTATGAATGACTTCTAGCTCCCTCTGCCAAATATAAACTTACTCCAGAAGAAAAATCAATGAAAGTTGACCATATGTAAGATGGTAAACTGAGTTATTTTAAATTATGAAATAAGTTCACAAATTATCCTTGTGATACACAATGCCAAAGTATGAAGAACATTTGAAGGGCTGAACAGAGAGTGACGGAAGTATTTCAAAATGCTACTTATATAGGCCATCGCTCCTGGGATTTGAAGGTTAGGTTATGATAATAATATTGGTCAGTTAAACGATGTCTTAAATAACTTTTACAGATGAAAAAGAGAATCTAATCCTTTCAAACATTATTTCAATAGGAACACTCATTCTAAGTTCTAAAACAAGTTCACTTACAAATAACCCATTGAAATACAAATTTTTTTATATTAAAGGTGACATGAATGAGATGTGATCTCAAACTTTAGGACCTATACTAAATATGTACATGCAAACTAGCAGTTAAAATGCAAGGTAATATGTGATTAAATGCCAAATGTGAAACAACAAATGCTTCACAAGTTTTTAAAAGATGTCAATTAATATGGGTAGAGCATATAAGATCACCAAAATTGAAAGGACTTAGATAGAAAAGAGAGGGAGATGGGAGAGCAATATATTGATCATATTCTTAAGTCAGAAGTGATTCAGAGTTGAAGAAAAATATTCAAGTAATTAATAAAAGGCAAAGTAAGGCCTGGTTAAAAAGGCTTGCAATATTGGGCTCAGGAATCTAACCACTAGAAGTTATTGCAAGTTATTAAAGAAGTAACATGAAAGCAGGGAGCTAGTAATACTAATCAAGTGGCAGACATTAGGACAAAAAGAAAGTTTATTTGTTGCAGTTGTAACCTTTGAGGCTTAAAATTT